TGTGCTTTTTATTTCTTAGCAGGATGTTTTATCTCTGTACATAAAGTCGAAACCAAAAGTTAGGGAAACAGATAGTCTTTACACCATCATGCCACACGTGTTTTTAAAACATTGTGTTTTAAAAAAAAAAGTTACTAAAACCAAGATGCTGTGATTTTTTTAAGTTGCAATATGTTTTGGGTTTTTTTTTCTATTTTAATCTTGCAGTTAGGAGAAGTGGAATTTAGTTGTATTAATCTTGCAGAATGTTTGCAGGACTGACTATCAAACTGGATGACTTCCGTTTATACCCCACTGTGTCAGTTCAAGCATCAAACACCTTACATCTGAGGAAGACTTCCTACATCAGGGACAGGTATCTGTGTGTCATTATACAAAACAGTTCGAGGGGGTTGAACTACGTAGTAAAAAATAAAATAGTACTTAGTGTAAAATAATTTTATAAATGATCTTTTGTACTTTAGGACATTAAATTGTACAACTTTTGTATATATAAAAGCTTAGGAACTTTCTGTTTAGCAGGAAGGCGACACATTCCTACACTTTTAATGTATATGTTTGTTATAATGTCCATGTAAACATGCCCTATGTTTGTGCCTTTTAATTAGTTTGTCTCAATAAACAAAATGTAGAGAAAAAAATAAAAAATGTTAAAAAATAAAAATAAATAAAATATAAATAAATAAAATAAAATAAATAAAAAATAAATAAAATAAATAAAATAAATAAAAAATAAAAATAAAAAAAATAAAAAATAAAAAAAAATTTAACTTTATTAATAATAATAACAGATTTAGTAACACTTTTTTTAAATTTATTTTGAGAGAGAGAGAGAGAGAGAAAGGGCAAGCATGAGCAGGGGAGGGGCAGAGAGAGAGAGAGAGAGAGAGGGAGAGAGAGAATCCCAAGCAGGCTCTTCGCTGTCAAGTGCAGAACCTCAAGTAGGGCTTGAACTCACGAACTTTGAGATCATGATCTGAGCCCAAACCAAGACTCAGATGCTTATCCTACTGAGCCACCCAAGTGCCCCAGATTTAATAACACTTTAATAATTCACATAAGACAATCCTATTCTTAGTCACTATTATTTAAAGCCCCAAATCCATGCCAGTTACTCCAAATATGTTTCAGAGTGAAAAGCCTGCTATAGAAGCCAGGAAGAATCAGCACTGAAAGAGTGTCAGGAATAAGCCCATAGACCCAATCAAAGGAAAATGTTGATTAAAGCCTCGCTCAACATTCTTGCAAGAGTAGATGTCTCATGGACATGCACACTCGGGGCAGTCACAGCAGACAATTTATCCTTGGAGTATGTACATATTTCCCAATAGGTTGTAAACCTACTGTTAATGAAAGCACAGCTTTCATTTGGTATTCCTGAAAAGGAAACATCTCCCTTCTCACAAGAGCCAAGAGACTGTAGGGACCTCAAGATGGCCCACTTTGGCATGAAGATTATTTTGAGTTACAAAGCAGTCAAAACCCAGTAGATTGAGGAAAGTCTTTTTTACCTTCCCCACAACTGCCTAAGAAGAATTTAGACAGAAGATCTGCTCCAGGAAGAGAGCTATCACCACAGACAACTACATTACACTATGAACTGGGGGTGGTAGACAGGGAGGAACCTAGCAAGTCCTGTTTGGTCACAGTTCTCTGTTGTTTCTGAGAGGCCCAGCAAACATTTGCTAACCAAATATTTACACTTTTTCATCTTTCTGTAAATTGCATTCCTTCCCTTTGAAGTTTCAGACCCCTACCCTCTTCTCCTTAACTCACAATGACATATATATCTCCTTTTGCCCATTTTGGAATTTCCATGAATGTGCATTCCCCATAGGTACACTATTAAATTTGATTTTCTCCTGTTAATCTGTCTCATGTCAATTTGATTCTTAGTTCAGCTAGTATGAGCCTGAGGGGACAGGATATTCTTGATCCCTTACAAGAGCATAATCCTGCTTTTATTATATGTGTGAGGGCAAGCATGTAGGCTAATGTTAAATTTGTTCTGGTAACTCTTAAAACATGCATGTAGAATACTCATCAGTAAAGCCACTATAAGATACTATAGAGCTAAAAGATGTTTTCCATAAGCATTTAAGGTCCATATTATTGGATTTAAAACACAACTGCTATAATTTGAATAATTTACCCTAATATACTCATTTAATATGGATGCTTTTTAGGGATAGCAATATAAGCATACAACAAAAGTTTGGTTTGCAAAAAGACAGAGCTTATGAAGATTTAATGGGTTCTTACCAGAGCAGAGCACTTCATTTCAATAATGTCTACTGGTGGTCCTGGAGAGCTATGGATCTCAAGACTGTACCAGACTCGGATATTGCTAGCACCATCATCTGAAAAAAAAAAAAACAAAAAAACAAAAAATGTAGGCTTCTTAATGTAGGCTTCAGAATACCATATTTAACCTAAAAATTTGAGAAACATCAATAGATATCATTTTCAAACTCTTTTTGATGAACTAATTTGTCAAGAGAGCCAAGGGGAGGGTGAAAAGCTGATTGTATTAGTTTGTGAGTGCTAAGAGAAATGCCATTTTGCATGGCCATGAGCAGGCCCTATAAAAGCTCCCTGTCCTGTGCCTGCCCAGAAACTTATCATGTCACCCCCCGACCCCACTAAAATAAGAATGCTTTACTTCTTTTCTTTTAATTAAAAAAAAAAATTATTCATTTTTGAGAGACAGACTGTGAGTGGGGGAGGGGCAGAGAGAGGGAGACAGAATCCAAAGCAGGCTCCAGGCTCTGAGCTGTCAGCACACAGCCGGACACAAGGCTCAACCAGCTCATGACCTGAGCAGAAATCAGACGCTCAATTGAATGAGCTACTCAGGCACCCCAACAATGTTTTACTTCTAAGAATTAATATTTCAAAAGAAATAACCAATCATTTTCCCCCTAATTGCCCAAGCATTCACATATTATACATAGAAATATCTAAGTATTGTATTACAGTTCAGTGGAACACTTCCTATACCATAAGAATCTAGTGTAAGGTCAGAATCAGGAATAGTTTACAAGATTTTTCTTTTGTTGTTGGAAGTATGAAAAAGGATCCTAGCAATTCACCCTAAAGGAAGTTGGACTAGGGAATGGATTAAGTGATGAGAAAGTAATGTTTACATCTGGGTTCCCAATATTTTTTTAAAAAGCAGGCATTTCTGTCACTGGTGATGTCTAAAGTCACACTCCCAAATCCTGACACTGGAACCCTGGTCCACTAAAACAGTCCTGTGTAACAGGGCTTGTACTGGCATCAAACTCAGGTTTTCTACTTGTTTAGCCTCATCTGTTCAGCTTCTACTTTGGTATTCTTTATTCTCCAGGGTTGAGCTAGCTTATGATTTAGATGTCCTCCAACTTCAGTTAATTGTATGTATATTCATATCAGTATTGTCATGTTTTAAAGATTCCAGAAACTACTATGTTTGCTGACCTTAGTCATATAAATCACTAGCCTCTTTGGGGCTCAGTTTCCTCATCTGAAATAAGGAGCCCAGACTAGTGGAATTCGCAGTCACTCTCTTCTGAAAGAGAGTGTTTTGTGTTTTGCAGAGTATAGCATGGCATTGCATTGTATTGTATTGTACGGCATCGAATGACACTGTAGTGAATTGCATTTCATGGTGGAGGGGAGTAGAATTTGCCATTCCAAACTATGACTTTGGTATAAGGATTATTTTCAGCTGATTATTTAAAAAAAACTGCAGACACAGGAGAACTCTGAAAACTGAGAAGTTACCCTTTTGTAAGAGATATTTACATTTATAAAGGAAATCTGCATTTGTAAGAGTGTCTCCCTTTCTGTATTAGGATGCTGGGAGGGCTAAATCTTAGGAATGCCTATCAGTGGAGAAGACAGTGACCTCTATCTGCATAACAACCTTATTCTTGTTAATGTTGCTTTTCCTGGTAACTTCTCCTTCTTGGCTCCTCATCCCCCAACATCTTTTTGTGTTTTTAGGTGGGGATGGTATTTTAAGGTAAGGGCTTGGCTATTTCAGGGAGTTACTCATTTTTCTGGGTCTCTCCCATGTATAGGGGAGGAATACAAGTTACTAAACTTTTGTTTTTCTCCTGCTAATATTATTATTATTATCATTATTATTATTATCATCATCATCATCATCATTATTACAGGGGGGTATTGGCCAAGAATTTAGAAGGGTAGAGGAAAAATTATTCCTCGCTACCAAGAGCATTGTATCTTATGGCATTGCTTCATACCATATTATACTGTATTGTATTCCATTCTATTCTAATACTTTAGCTCACAAGAAGTACTTATAGAATTAGTGGATCTTAGAACAATTCAGACTTTCAGAACACTCAGCTAATGAGAGGGAAACAAGAGAAAGTCTTTGTGAATTTTCATCCCAAATACTTGTGAGAAGTTCCTGAGGGCGAAACTTACCTTCCCATTTTCAATTGTTTTCAGAGCTTATTTATTTTACAAACACCAGCTAACTACCTTGAAACCATTAATGCACAGAGAATAAGTTACCAACTTTATACTGATGTTTGGTTACTGAGGAAATCTCTGCTCACATTTGTATTGGCTGCTCCTTCAGTTCTCTGGCAGTGATTTAAATGCCTTTATGGTGTTTAAAAATCTCTTTAAAAGAGATTGATTTTAAGGAAATGGCTCACGAAATTGACCTGGTAGGTCCAAAATCTGCAGGTTAAGTCATTAGGCTGTAGACCTAGGAAAGAAGTACAGTCCGAATCCAAAGGCAGTCTACTGGTAGAGTTCCTTTTTTGCTCTGGGGCGATCAGTCTTGGCTCTATTAAGACCTTCAACTGATTAGCCGAGAACTCCACATTATGGAGGGCCATCTTCTTCATTCAAAGTTCAGCTCTAAATGTAAATTTCACCTAAAATCACCTTCACAGAAACATCCAGAATAACGTTTCACCTATTATCTAGATGCCAGAACCCAATTAGGTTAACACAAAAATTAGCTTTCACACAAGTAATAATACTTAGTATTTGTGACTGCTGTGACTATCACATAAGGCAATGTTGCGATGTAGCTGATTTAATTCCTACAGTGCTAAAAATGTACACTGAATATGAATTTATTGGTTAGAGTAAGATTGGCAAAGATTTACTGAACAGAACAAAAATAATAATTATTAAATACTGTTTAGCTATAGGCTTTGAACATATTAAAAATTTTTTTTTCTAATTATAAAATCAACAGTATTCACCATAGTGATTTTAGAAATTCCTGTAAGGCTTAAAGATAAAAATTATTCATTATATCACAACTAAGAGTAAACTATTTTTTTTTTTGTATAAATCTCCAGGTTTAAAGCACCAATAAAGACATAGATATTTAGACACACACACATACAAATACACTGGGGTATACAAATTGTATATGATTGATATATCCATATATATATATATGTATGTGTGTGTAAACATATTTTTCTCATTCAGAGAGTACTCCCTATTACAACTTGAGTTTTATTGCTAGTCATTAGGGAAAAACAAATCAAAATCATGACGAGATATCACCTCACACCCATTAGGATGGCTACTATGAAAATAACAGAAAATAGCAAGTGTTGGGGAGGATATGGAGAAAAGGGCACCCTTGTGTTCTGTTGGTGGCAATATAAATTGGTGCAGTCACTGAAACTGCCACCAGAATGAAGTCTGCTGAAAGGCATGTAGCCACAGGTAAAGATTACTGGGGAAAATGCCAGGAAGCAACTTAGAATATGCTTTGGTTAAGCTAATAAAAATGTAGGGGTGCCTGGGTGGCTCAGTTGTTAACATCTGACTTTTGGCTCAGGTCATGATCTCACGGTTCAAGAGTTCCATTCCCACATTGGGTGAACACGAGCCCACTTTGGGTGAGACCTGCTTCTTTCTCTCTCCCTCTAACACACTCTCTCTCTCTGTCCTTCCTTTCTCTCTCTGCCTCATGCTCCCTTATACCCATTCTCTCTCTCTCTCAAAAAAAAAAAAAGATAATGAAAATGTAGGGGCACCTGGCTGGCTCAGTCATAGGAGCACATGATTTTGGGGTTGTGTTTCGAGCCTCATGATGGGTGTAGCAATTACTTAAATATATAAATAAACTTTAAAAAAAAGATAATGAAAATGTAGCCCAAGGGAACAAGAAATGAAACAGCCTGCACAGTCATCATAACCATCATATATATACTCTACTTTTGGTAACAAAGATAGTATCACTCACACACAATGCTGAGATGTTTTGCAGACCTGGACCAATGAAGGAAATGACCACCCAACCAGGATCTTGAAGAAACAGGTGACCTGGCACCAGTTCATCAGTTTTGACATTTACCAAATCCCTGACCTATCAGAAGAACCCATGATTCCAAACCCCTTACCCTTGATTTCTGGCCTTAAAACCATTACTTGTAAGCCATCAGGGAATTCAGGATTTTGAGCATTAGTTCCCTGTTCACCAGGGTAGTGCCATACCAAGAAATACACTATCTTTCTTCACTAAAAAAGCTCAGTGTCAGGTTTTTTATTGGCTTGCTGTGTGTTGGATGGATAAAATTATTAGGTTCAGTTATACTACTAATGAAAACAGTATGGACAATCCTCGAAAAATTAAAAATAAAACTAACACTTTGGGGTATTTATTTGAAGAAAACCAAAACTCTTACTTGGAAAAGATGTACGTGATCTCATGTTTATTACAGCATTATTTATAATAGCCAAGATATGGAAACAACCTAAGTGTCCATCGAGGAATGAATGGATAAAGATGTTCTGAGATATCTATATATCTATATCTATATCTATAAAGGAATATTATTCAGCTATTATAAAAAACACAAGGGAATCCTACCATTTACAACATGGATAGACCTTGAAGGCATTATGCACACAGTTCATGGGATTGAATACTATGTTAGGCTCTGTGCTGACAGCATGGAGCCTGCTTGGGATTCTCTCTCTCCCTCTCTCTCTGCCTCTCCCCTGCTCTCACATGCACTCCCATGCACACACACACACACACTTTCTCTCTCTCTCTCTCTCTCAAAATAAATACATAAATATTTAAGAAGAAAAAGAACAACAACAGCTCAGGGGGTGCCTGGGTGGATCAGTCGGTTGAACCAACGACTCTTGATTTCAGCTCAGATCATGATCCCAGTGTCATGGGATCAAGCCCCGTGTCTGGCTCTGTGCTGAGCATGGAACCTGCTTAAGATTTTCTCTCTCTTTCTTCCTGTGTATCCTCTCCCCTGCTCTCTCTCTCTCAAAGAAATTTTAGACATTTTAAAAAAAAAGCAAAAACAACTCAGAAAAATAGATTAGACTTGTGGTTACCAGAGGCAGAGCT